CACCCATGGAGCCTCCCTCATTGCTAGCAAAGCAGTCTGAGATCTAACTGCAAGGCAGCAGCGAGGCTGGGGGAGGGATGCCCGCCATTGCTGAGGCTTGAGGAGATAAAAAAACTCGCCAGTAAGCTCCAACTGGGGGGAGCCCACCAGAGCTCAAGAAGGCCTGCCTGCCTCTGCAGACTCCACCTCTGGGGACAGGGCAGAGCTAAACAAAAAGCAGCAGAAACCTCTGCAGATATAAATGTTCCTGTCTGAACAGCTTTGAAGAGAGCAGTGGTTCTCCTAGCATGGCGGTTGAGATCTGAGAACGGACAGACTGCCTGTTCAATTGGGTCCCTGACTCCTGAGTAGCCTAAGTGGGAGACATCCTCCACTACGTGCACACCAACAATTCACACCTCACATGGCTGGGTACACCTCTGAGACGAAGCTTCCAGAGCAAGATTCAGACAGCAACACTTGCTGTTCAGTAATATTCTGTCTTCTGCAGTTTCTGCTGGTGATACCCAGGCAAACAGGGTCTGGAGTGGACCTCAAGCAAACTCCAAGACCTCAAGCAACTGTTGGTATCAATTAACCTTAAATGTAAATGGACTAAATGATCCAATTAAAAGACACAGACTGAAACACTGGATAAAGAGTCAAGACCCATCAGTTTGCTGTATTCAGGAGACCCATCTCACATGCAGAGACACACATAGGCTCAAAATAAAGGGATGGAGGAAGATCTACCAAGCAAATGGAAAATTAAAAAAAAGCAGGGGTTGCAATCCTAGTCTCTGATAAAACAGACTTTAAACCATCAAAGATCAAAAGAGACAAACAAGGCGATTACATAATGGTAAAGGGATCAATTCATCAGGAAGAGCTAACTATTCTAAATATATATGCACCCATTACAGGAAAACCCAGATTCATAAAGCAAGTCCTTAGAGACATACAAAGAGACTCAGACTCCCATAAAATAATAATGGGAGACTTTAACACACCACTGTTAACATTAGACAGATCAACGAGACAGAAAGTTAACAAGGATATCCAGGAATTGAACTCAACTCTGCACCAAGCAGACCTAATAGACATCTACAGAACTCTCCAACCCAAATTAACAGAATATACATTTCTTTACAGCACCACATCTCACTTATTCCAAAATTGATGACATACTTGGAAGTAAAGCACTCCTCAGCAAATGTACAAGAACAGAAATTATAACAAACTGTCTCTCAGACCACAGGGCAATCAAACTAGAACTGTAGATGAAGAAACTCAATCAAAACCACTCAACTATATGGAAATTGAACAACCTGCTCCTGAATGACAACTGGGTACATAACGAAATAAAAGCAGAAATAAAGATGTTCTTTGAAACCAATGAGAACAAAGACGCAACGTACCAGAATCTCTGGGACACATTTAAAGCAGTGTGTAGAGGGAAATTTATAGCACTAAATGCTCACAAGAGAAAGCAGGAAAGATCTAAAATTGACACTCTAACATCGCAATTAAAAGAACTAGAGAAGCAAGAGCAAACACATTCGAAAGCTAGCAGAAGGCAAGAAATAACTAAGATCAGAGCAGAACTGAAGGAGATAGAGACACAAAAAACCCTTCAAAAAAATCAATGAATCCAGGAGCTGGTTTTCTGAAGAGATCAACAAAATTGATAGAACGCTAGCAAGACTAATAGAGAAGAAAAGAGAGAAGAACCAAATAGACGCAATAACACATGATAAAGGGGATATCACCACCGATCCCACAGAAATACAAACTACCATCAGAGAATACTATAAACACCTCTATGCAAATAAACTAGAAGATCTACAAGAAATGGGTCAATTCCTGGACACATACACCCTCCCAAGGCTAAATCAGGAAGAAGCTGAATCACTGAATAGACCAATAACAGGCTCTGAAATTGAGGCAATCATTAATAGGCTACCAACCAAAAAAAGTCCAGGACCAGACAGATTCACAGCCAAATTCTACCAGAGGTACAAGGAGGAGTTGGTACCATTCCTTCTGAAACTATTCCAATCAACAGAAAAAGAGGGAATCCTCCCTAACTCATTTTATGAGGCCAGTATCATCCTGATACCAACGCCTGGCAGAGACACAAGAAAAGAGAATTTTAGACCAATAGCCCTGATGAACATCGATGCAAAAATCCTCCATAAAATACTGGCAAACCGAATCCAGCAGCACATCAAAAGGCTTAACCACCAAGATCAAGTTGGCTTCATCCCTGGGATGCAAGGCTGCTTCAACGTACGCAAATCAATAAACGTAATCCATCACATAAACAGAACGCAAAGACAAAAAACACATGATTATCTCAACAGACGGAGAAGAGGCCTTCAACAAAATTCAACAGTCCTTCATGCTAAAAACTCTCAGTAAACTAGGTATTGATAGAACGTATCTCAAAATAATACGAGCTATTTATCACAAACCCACAGCCAGTATCATACTGAATGGGCAAAAACTGGAAGCATTCCCTTTCAAAACCGGCACAAGACAGGACTGCCCTCTCTCACCACCCCTATTCAACACAGAGTCTCCTATTCAACATATTGTTGGAAGTTCTGGCCAGGGCAATCAGGCAGGAGAAAGAAATAAAGGGTGTCAATTAGGAAAAAAGGATGTCAAAGTGTCCCTGTTTGCAGATGACATGACTGTATATACAGAAAGCCCCATCATCTCAGCCCAAAATCTCCTTAAGCTGATAAGCAACTTCAGCAAAGTCTCAGGATACAAAATCAATGTGCAAAAATCACAAGCATTCTTATACGCCAATAAGAGACAAACAGAGAGCCAAATCATGAGTGAACTCCCATTCACAACTGCTTCAAAGAGAATAAAATTCCTAGGAATCCAACTTACCAGGGATGTGAAGGACCTCTTCAAGGAGAACTACAAAGCACTGCTCAGCAAAATAAAAGAGGACACAACCAAATGGAAGAACACTCCATGCTCACGGATAGGAAGAATCAATATCGTGAAAATGGCCATACTGCCCAAGGTGATTTATAGATTCAATGCCATCCCAGCAAGCTACCGATGACTTTCTTCATGGAATTGGGAAAAGCTACCTTAAAGTTCTTATGGAACCAAAAAAGAGCCCGCATTGCCAAGACAATCCTAAGCAAAAAGAACAAAGCGGGAGGCATCATGCTACCTGACTTCAAACTACACTACAAGGCTACAGTAACCAAAACAGCATGGTACTGGTACCAAAACAGAGATATAGACCAATGGAACAGAACAGAGGCCTCAGAAAAAACACCACACATCTACAACCATCTCATCTTTGACAGACCTGACAAAAACAAGAAACGGGAAAAGGATTCCCTATTTAATAAATGGTGCTGGGAAAACTGGCTAGCCATATGTAGAAAGCTGAAACGGGATCCCTTCCTTATGCCTTATACAAAAATTAATTCAAGGTGGATTACAGACTTAAATGTTAGAGCTAAAAGCATAAAAACCCTAGAAGAAAACCTAGCCAATATCATTCAGGACATAGGCATGGGCAATGACTTCATGACTAAAACACCAAAAGCAATGGCAACAAAAGCCAAAATAGACACATGGGGTCTAATTACACTAAAGAGTTTCTGCACAGCAAAGGAAACTACCATCAGAGTGAACAGGCAACCTACAGAATGGGAGACAATTTTTGCAATCTACCCATCTGACAGAGGGCTACTATCCAGAATCTACAAAGAACTTAAACAAATTTACAAGAAAAAAATCAAACAACCCCATCGAAAAGTGGGCAAAGGATATGAACAGACACTTTTCAAAAGAAGACATTAATGCAGCCAACAGACACGTGAAAAAGTGCTCATCACCACTGGTCATCAGAGAAATGCAAAGCAAAAGCACAGTGAGATAGCATCTCACACCAGTTAGAATGGCGATCATTAAAAAGTCAGGAAACGGCAGCTGCTGGCGAGGATGTGGAGAAATAGGAAGGCTTTTACACTGTTGGCGGGAGTGTAAACTAGTTCCACCATTGTGCAAGGCAGTGTGGCGATTCCTCAAGGATCCAGAACGAGAAATACCACTGGACCCAGCAATCCCATCACTGGGTATACACCCAAAGGATTATATATCATGCTACTATAAAGACACACACACACGTATGTTTATTGCGGCACTATTCACAATAGCAAAGACTTGGAACCGACCCCAATGTCCATGAGTGATAGACTGGATTAAGAAAATGTGGCACATGTAAACCATGGAATACTATGCAGCCATAAAAAAAGGATGAGTTCGTGTCCTTTGCAGCAACACGGATGAAGCTGGAATCCATCATTCTGAGCAAACTATGGCAAGGACAGAAAACCAAACACCGCGTGTTCTCACTCATCGGTGGGAACTGAACAATGAGAACACTTGGACACAGGGCGGGGAACATCACACCCCGGGGCCCATCACACCCCGGGGCCAGTTGTGATGTGGGGGGATGGGGGAGGGATAGCATTAGGAGAAATACCTAATGGAAATGACGAGTTAATGGGTGCAGCAAACCAACACGGCACATGTATACATATGTAACAAACCTGCACGTTGTGCACATGTACCCCACAACTTAAAGTATAATTGAAAGCAAAAGTCAAAAAAACAAGTATGACATATTTTATTTTTGTAAAACTAGGTGGTTAGATGCTTGCAATGAACTCATTACTTTGATTCTTTAATGCTTCACCCTGTTTTCACTGTGTCCATCTAGTTATTTGGGTCTATAAATACTGGTGAAATCATTTTATTGGAAAACAGTACTAAAGAATGTAAGATGTTATCAAGATACAGTTCTTTTGTTTTGACTGATAAAACGCACATAATGTTAATCTGTTAGCAAAGGCAGATATTTTATCAAAATATGGAAAATATGTGAATTTATAAGCCACCAATAGAATATTAGAAAAATACTATTAAAAATTTCAGTGTAAATCGTCATTTATTGCAAATCATGTGTAACAAATTCTTACCAGTAAAAGCTTTCACTTCATCCTCCAATGCTTTCAGAGCCACTTTATTATCAGCTATAACACAAAGGCATAATTTGAAGCTCATAACATGTTATATCACAAGAACACTCTCCTCCCTCCTATGATTATAACACCTAGTAGCAGCACTTACGAAGTATACTGGGCATTTTGTTAAGTACTTTAGTCATTTGATAAATATTTACTCAGAATATGTTACGAAGATGAAGAAACAATTATAAATATTGAAAATAAACTTATTTAGAAAATGTGAATTTGACTTTATAACCCATAAAACAGCAAATCTTATATTTGATAATGGAAAGATGGAATTCAAAAGTGGCTTTTTCCTAGGGGTCAGCTTTCTTGTCCTCAGAATTTGGAAGGCTCTTGTATTGACCATGCCGCTAGCATTCAGAATACTACATTCCCTACTTTGTTACTCTGACTGTCTTATTTAATCTTGCCATTTGCATTATGAAAAGTTCTTTTTTCCTTTTCCTTCTAATGCTAAAAGTACATAAAACACAAAACTCAGAAACCAGTGATATCTAGCATGCTCACCACCGACTGGCAGGCTTTGTGGCAGATCTTCAAGTTCTTTATCTGTGAGCTTGATTCCCATGTTGTCTAGAACGGTCTTCAGGTTTTTTATATCAGCCTTCCCTAATCAGAAAGACACAGGCCGTGAGGAAAATGTAGAGACTCTAAAACAAAATCTCTAATTTTTTTTTTTTTTCAGACGCATACACATTGGGAAGTTGAGAAAAGCTATGGATCTTTTATTTCCACAGAGTACGCATACGCATTTTCATAAACTGCGCATTAGGATTTAGGAGGATGTGCTAAAGCCCATTCGTGATTACATTTTTCTACATAAAGAGAAAAAATTCGTTGAATCAATATATAAATGAAATTGACCATGGAATTAAAATTAGGATCCTTTCCTTTAAACCAATTAACTGATCAGTGGATGCAAACTTGGGTCAATCATTCACATATTTTGACCAATACATAGGATTAAAAAGTAATCTCTCAATATCATTCCTAATAATGATAATGATAGCTAACGCTTATTGAGAGCTTTTATTTTGGTACCAGCCATCATACAAAACATTTCATTTATATGTTGTCATTTAATCTCAGACAGATATCAGACAACAGTTGACTGAATTCCTTATATAAATAGCTCATCTTTTCCTTGACTTTTTTGGCATGTAATTACATCTTCCCCACTAAGTTTATAAACTCTAAGAGAGTATGGGATACATTCCTCAACAATATGGTTGATTATCTGGTTAAATAACGATAAATCTGTTTTTCAAAAATGAAATGGAATCTATGTATTAGAGAGGTTGCAGGATTCACAATGAAATTAGTAGTGAATAATGGGAAGGCCAAATGAGTGCCTTATATTCATCTATCTCCTTATTACTTTCCCTCACATTTAAGGTATTTCATACTACTCAGCACTATGTTTTTTCCCAACATTTTACAATAAAATGTGCCAAACATGCAGAAACATTGAAAGAATAGCACAACGAACCATCACCACTTACATGAAATAAGAGTTAACATTTCGCCATAGTTTACTTTTTCTCTCTCATACTGTCTTTCCATATGTATGTGTGAGTGTATACATAAATATGTTTTCCTTTCCTCAATGGATTCTGACTGTAAATGGTGGACATCGTAACTTATTATCCCTAAACACTGCAGCATGCAATGAATCTTCTAAGAATAAGGATATTCTCTTACGCGACATTGTTGATAAATACACGGCATGCTCACACCTAAGAGAATTAACAACAATCCCTTAGTGTCATGTTACATCCAGTTCATATTTTAAAATATTTTTGTTAATTGTCCCCCAAACATCTATTACAGCTGTTTCTGTCAAAAGTTCACATTGCATTTAGTTATTCTCTTTGTCTCTTCAAATCTAAAAGTTAGCTGGGCGCAGCGGCTCACTGCTGTAATCCCATCAATTTGGTAGGCCGATGTGGGCAGATCACTTGAGATCAGGAGTTCGAGACCAGCCTGGCCAACATAGTGAAACCCCGTCTCTAGTAAAAAAAGAAAGATTAGCTAGTCATGCTAATAAAAAAAAGGGAATGATCCACAGCTATAATGCACCTGTCTGGATAAATTTCACAATACTGAGCTAAAAGCAAACTATAAAAAATATATACTGTATTATTCCATTTATATAAAGTACAAAATGCAAAACTCCACTATATATCTTTTAGGGATATGAACATAGTAAACTATAGAAAAAAAAGCAAGGAAATGGTTAGAACCATGCAATGGATGCCTTCTAGACATTCCAGAAATCATTTGCTGAATCTACTGCTGTCTTTACACTCCATCTAGTGTAAAATTTATGCTAATCCAACAATAAATAGTAGGGTGTCTAAGTTTATGTTCTTAACCTAACCAGAGAACCCAAAAGTCCATGGAACTCTGTATATAAGAAGTATCTTCTCTCTAGAATACCGGGTTGGGGAAAAGGAAGAGTAGGGCTCTACCGTAGGTATTATTTGGCCTTTATACTCCAATATATGAACATCTGGTTTTAAAACATGAATAACAAAATTATGTCTGTCTTAGCCAAATAAAGAACTTCCATACACTTTCCAAAAAGGTTGTGACAATTCACAATGACCAATATATGTATATACTAGTTCCATATAACCTTTTTAAGTATACAGTATTACTACCACTTTTTAAAAATTTAGCCTGTGCGAACATGTGTACTCTAAACAGGAGAGCTGAGAAGTAAAGGAAGTACTCACCATCTATTGCACTGTTTGATAAGACCTTAAATTGTTCTTCATCTAAAGGTTTCTCCAGGCTCTTCAAAGTGGATAAAAGGTCTTCAATTTCAACTTTCCCATCGCAGACACTATTAATAATACTCCATGCATCTTCTATTTCTATGTGTGTATATATACATATTAATGAGAAAGTGTCACAGTACTTACTCTATCCATATAAGCACATAGCAACCTGATTTGTGTGAAGTATATTCGCTTTGTAGGATATCCAATCCTTTTTGCCTCTGAAATATCTTCTAAATGGAAAGCTCTACAAAATTTATAGGTTAAATGTTTATATGAGAAAACAATAAACAAATATTTTTAAAGTGTTCAACTCAAAAAACTAAACAACAACAAAACAGAAAAATGATCACAATTAAGATGGTGCCATAAATTATTTTTTAATTTAAAAAGTAGCCCTTGCTCTTCTTATCTACATGTTTGGAAAAAATGACAGTGCTGTTGATGAGATGTCCATAAACTGATGTTTCATTAACTTAATTTTAAGTGTTATTCAAATACTTTTAAATCTCTGTATCCACACTTTTCACTCTCTTCTTATTTATGCCATCTCTATTTATTTTCCTTCATCATAATTCCTAAAGAGTTCTTTATTTTATTAGTCTTTTTCAAGACCCAGTTTTTGGTTAAATGAATAATTTGTTTTTGTGTATATGTTCTATTTCAGTTACTCCTGCTTTCAAATTGATTAGTTTCTAACTACTGCTTTTTGCAGGGACTGTTTTGCTGTTGTAGTTTACGTTGCTGTTTAGCTTCGTGAGTTGAACAACTGAGATAATTTTCAGTATTTCTCATTTTCTAATAAAAGCATTTAAAGCTATAAGATTTCCTGTAAGACTGTTTTGGTCATACTTTACATGTTTTGACATATAGTGCTTTCATTCTCATCCATTTCTAAATAATGTTTAATTTCAGACTTTATTCTTTAACCAAATAATTATTTAGTGGAGCATCTGCTTTTTTTGCTTTTTAAAACACTGCTTTTAATCTTCAGATCAAAATGTTTTCCACATTCCTTCATAAATGATTTTAATATATTACTACATGGTGGTCAGAATATGTGATCTGAATAACTTCTGATTTTCAGAATTCATTGACATTTTTCTTTGTAACTTAAATATATCATATATTTGTGTGAATACAAAATAGGCATTAGAAAATGTGTATTCAATGTTTTTGGAATATGAACTGCTATATGTTTCTTAAATCAGGCTTATTGTCATTTAAATCTCAAATTCTTTCTATCTTTATCTCTGTGTATAAATATATACATTGTTTAATCTTATCTAACTTGTCAATTTAATTTTTTCATATTAGTAAAAAGTTCTAGTATACATAATTGAGTTGATCATACTCTTGGATTCATGGTGTTTTGTCATCACTCATCTTCAAAGGGCCTCTGCTTGTTTTACTATTTTTCTCCTTTAACTACTATCTCCAATTTTATTCATTCATAAGTAGCAACTGCAGTGTAATTAATATACTTCTATTCAATCTATCTCATCTAATTACTTAGATTTATGTGTTTAGCTAAAAAAATACAATGTTGTTTGTCTAATGTGCACTCATATAAATCAGTTTACATAAAGCATTTTGAACTATAAGTTTATTCTATTTCTTCCCTTTCTTCACTGAACCATATATTACTGAAATATATCTATGGTACAACCAGTTTATTGTTTCTGATTTACTGTACGTAGAGACCACATTTTACTGAACCATTCCCTTAGTAATGGACAACTAACTTATATTCATCTTTCCCTCTCTCAAATAATGTTGCAATGAGCATCCTTATACATGTCACTAACAAGAAACTTTCTCTGGGCTAATTACTTATGAACTGAATTACTGGGTGATGGGAACGCATGTTTTTAATTTCGCTAAGTACTGCTAGACTGCTATTCTGAGTGGCAATACTGTTTTCAGGAGTATTCCTAATGCTCTCTTCACATACATATGAGCCATTTGTGTTTCTCCTTTTGTATACTGCCTTCTTATATCCTTAACTCATTTTTCCAATGAGTTTTTATTTATCTATTGCTTATTTGTAGAATTTCTTTATATATATTTTAAATATTAATCTTTTGTTAGCTCTAAAAGTTGCAATTATCTTCTTCCAGTCTGTTACATATCCGGTCATTTCTTTAGAGTCCTTCATTAAACAGAAATCTTTAATTTTAATATAATCAAATCTTTTTCTACCCTATGATTGTGATTTTAGAAGTCCCATTTAAGAAATCCTTTGCAACCACAAGGCACAATATTTTCTCCAATAATTTCCTCCACCAGTTTTGTAGTTTTACTTTCAGATTCACGTTAACATCTATTTAATTTATTTGAAGATTATTTTTGTGTATGGCATAAAGTATGAATTCAATTTTATCTTCCTCCACAAAGTGTGGCAATTTCCCAAATAAGGTATTAAATAACACATCTATTCCCCCATCAATTGATGATATCTCTATCATATGCCAAGTTCTCACATACATGAGTCTCTGCAGATACTATATTGTGATGCATTGGTCTGTTAGTAACACTGCTACAAAAGCATTATAATATGTCCTTCTATCTGGTGTGGCAAGGCAACTTCCCCATCGTTATTGCTTTTCAAAGAGTCTGTCTTTCAAATAAATATCAGAATTATTTTCTCAAAGTAAATACATCTACAATGTATCTAAAATTTTGTTCCCACCAAAATTTTCCCGGAATATTGATTGAAACTGCATTCAAATTAAAGACTAATTTAGAGATAATACACTTAAGACCCATTCAAAATGCCAGTCTTAATATTTCAATTCACAATTTCAATGTTTGTGTTCCAAGGTTGTTTTAATGTCTCATTGTGCTGAAATTTCAAAATAGACTTTAAAAAGCTGAGTTAATCACTTAGCTAAAGTTTTTGACAAAGAGCAAAGGAGTAAGCCCAAATATATAAGAAGAAATAAAGAAGAAAGATAAAAGAAAATGACACCAGAGGTGATTAAAGAAACCAAAACAAGATTACTTTCATAAGATAGATAAACCTCGGACAAAACTGATAAAGAAAAAAATGCAACTTAACAGAATCCAGGAAAAGTGAGAAAGAAACACAGATAATTTTTTAAGTAATTAATGATATTATGAAAAATATGTATCCACAAACTGAAAACCTAGGGTTTTAAATATATACATTTCTATACTGTTTAAATGACAAAATGCAAAAGGGGCCTTGGCAGAGTTTTATTAAAAGTTAAATACATGGCCAAGCATGGTGGCTAATGCCTGTAATCCCAGCACTTTGGGAGGCAGAGGCAGGCAGATCACTTGAGGCCAGGAGTTTGAGACCAGCCTGACCAATGTGGTGAAATCCCATCTCTACTAAAAAACAAAAAACTAGCCAGGTACACACCTGTAATCCTGGCTACTTGGGAGGCTGAGGCAGGAAAACTGTTTGAACCCAGGAGGTGGAGGTTGCAGTGAGCCAAGATCATGCCACTGCACTCCAGCCTGGGTGAAATTGTGTCTCAAAAAAAAAAAAAAGTTAAACACACACACACACACACGTATACACACACAACTACACATACCAATCTAGAGACATGAAGTTTCTGTTCACATTCCGTCAAATTTCATACTTACTTTGGCATTCAATAAATTCATCAGTGTTGGCCAATTCTCTGATAAAATCCTTAAAATGCACCACTTCATCTTTAAAAAGAAAAGAAGTAACAATTTAGATACTGTTGTTAAAATGGATTTGATGTTATAAAACCAGAGCTATAAAACATGAAAATAACGTGGAGGAATGAATTATCTTGTGTTGTATCCAATATGCACATCAGATTCAAAATAAAAGTGGCCAGACATATACCTTTGAAAATAAGTTCCTTCAATACAAACTCATCAATTAAAAGATAGATAATTTCCTTGGGCATTAAGTTTCTTCTAATATACTCCAACTTTGTTAATTTAAAGTGAAATAATTACTCACCATTAGGATTAGTATTATCCAAAGTTTTCTGTATTTTATCATCTGTCAGATAGATTCCCATGGCATTTAAATTTTTCTGGAGACCAGAAATGGTTGTAACATCATTTTTGTGAATGTTGTTGTTGTAAAATTTATCTTCTGGGGAGAGATAATCACTTTCAGTTAGAAAGAAAGTTTCATGCTTCTCCTTTACATTTTAAAGATAGATGGTTAAAATTTCCCAACATATGAAATTACACTTAAGAAAAATGACAGTATTATTTATTTGCATTTATTTATATCCTTCTCTGTTGCCAAAATAAGTTAACTGACAAGAAATAGATACCAAAAAAATACAAATGTAAGTGAAAAAAATTTGGGGAAAGGAAGACAGCAATAAAAATAAGATAAAAAAGAGCAATAGACAAAATACATTTCATAAGGTCATATACACAAATTTTGTAACAATACCACATTTGTATACACTGAACAAAGCCTTCAAAGTAAATAAAGCAAAAACTGACAAAATTAAAGGGAGGAATAAATGATTCTACAGTGAGAACTGGGGATTTTAACACCTTGCTATCAGTAACTAATTGAGCAAGTAGAATAAAAAAACAGCAAGAATTAGAAGACCAGACCAATTTAGCAAACATTGTAACCTAACTGATATTTACAGAATGTGACCTAACAAGTGCAGAATGCACATTCTTTCAGGTACACACGGAACATTCACTTAGATAGACCATAACCAGGGCTATAAATAAATCTTAATTAATTTAAGAATTTAAATCATGTAAAATGTATTCTCTGGCCAAATGTATTAAATTGGAAATCAGTCTTGGCACAGTGGCTCACACCTATAATCCCAACACTTGGGGAAGCCAAGGCAGGAGAAATGCTTGAGCCCAGGAGCTCAAGACCAGCCTGGAACACAAAATGAGACCCCATCTCTAGAGAAAAAATGTTTAAAATTAGCCAAGCATAGTGGTGTATGCCTGTAGTCCCAGTTACTTGCAAGGCTGAGGCAAGAGGTTGCTTGAGCCCAAGAGTTGGAGGCTGCAGTAAGCCATGATCATGCCACCTGCACTCCAGCCTGAGCAA